AAAAAAAAAAAAAAAAAACCAGTGCATGGTCTGGTTTGCTTGACTGCTGAACATTTTGCCTCTTTTTTTTTTTTACTTAGCAGTTTTCAGTGCTCCTGCATATTAGTTTTATATTTTATATATTATATTCATTGTTCTGGTGAATGTCTGCTTTTCTAAAAGAAATTCTCATTTCCATTTAAGCTGATAGTACTGCAATTAGCAATTCTTCAGACCTCTGTTCAGTATCTACTAAGATATGTCTCAGGACCTACAGTTAAGAATAGAAGCCTGAAAAAAAAGTGGGACTAGAGACATGAGGAAGCTCAGTTCACCATTTCCTTAGGTTACAAATATTTCCTGGAAGTCTTCTTTGCTCATCTACAGATACATGGATGGTTCTAACACAGAAGTTGGTCTCTTGTCTCCAAATACCTCACTGAAAGTATGGCAGTCATTAGGTCTGTCTGATGGGCTCACAGACGCTACAGCAGAAATCAAAGCTGAAGTGAGGTTTATTATTGAAACAGGGCCATTGAAGGAAATAGGCAAGAAATGAAAAAAAAACCTTGTTGAGAACTTCAACATTTTTACTATTACTTATTATCTGGATTTCTCCTTTAAAATATTCTAAGTGTCTTCAAATTGTCTTATAATTTACGTTTTTAAGTAATGAAGGTTCTGTTAACTTCTATTATGCATATACTTTTCCCCCCTTCTTGAGCTCAAAAACCAGATATTTGTAGCAATGTTTTGGCCCTGAAGAAACAGGGCTATTCAAGATATGCAAATGCTTTGAACTTTCCCTGCCTTCTGGTTCTCCTAGACCATAGATCAGTGGAACTTTTACCTCCTCCCCAACGAGCACTGCATGTCTGATCATCTTTTTGTCTATTTTTCCTTCCTACAGGGACCCTATAAAAATACAGCAGCTGCAGAACCAAATTCGTCTGGAGCAAGAAAGTGGCCAGTGGTATCATCACCACCAGCAACCTGATCATCATCAGCACCCTCCCTCTTCTCCTTCCTTTCCTCCTCCCCCCTCCTTCCAGGAGCTTGAGTCCAGCCAGTCTGTCACCTCTCCTGTGCCAATGAGTATTCTTAACTCTCATACTTCCCCAACCATGCAGTCTTCCAGCTCCTTCAACTATGCTCGGCCTAAGCAGTTCATTGCTGCTCAGAACATCAGCCCTGCTTCAGGTTATGTGACTCCGTCTTCAGGATCATCTACATCCAGCCTTCCTTCTCCCATGTCTCCAACTGCTTCTCAGAAACAGTTTGGGAGAGTGCCTGTTCCCCCTTTCTCTCAGCAGTTTGCTCCAGAAGGGGAGTACGCCTGGTCTCCTTCTTCTCCATCCCCTCCGCCCCCGCCTCCACCTGTCTTTAGTCCAACTGCGACATATCCGGTGTGTGATTCCTTTCCACTTCCACCTCCTCCACCCCCTCCTCTTCCTTCACTTTCTTCACCTTCCCACAGCCTGTCTCCAACTCCCAGATTTCCTAATTCCGGCCAGTCTCCAGCAGCTTTTCTCAGCTCCATGCTGCCATCTCAGCCACCACCCATTTCTGTCAACGCATTAGGCCTTCCAAAAGGAGTGACGCCTCCGTAAGTATCAGCTAATGAGCTCCTTGAGTTTGACTATACTGAAGATTGTACTGAGGATTATTGCACTTGCTTCATTTTGTACTTTTATAGGGTCCTTTGCTGTTACCTACTGCCTGAGAGGGAGAAATACGTGAACTATTTGCAAATACCTCTGTGCTAGAGATGGGATGTAGTTTTCTAAAACTCACAGAAGTGGGATTCTGAAAGAGTCCTACAGTAGGAACATGAAAGACGAGAAGCTAAAGCTTTAAATTAGAGTTGATGAGGATATGAAAGCAGCAGCAAAGGCTCTGCATGCCTGGGACGGCGGAAGGAGATCCAAGAAAACCCTTCTCATGACCCAGTTCTTTTAATGTCACTTATTCAGGGATATTTGCAGTCTGTGTTCCTATTACATCTGCAGGTAGAGAAATATCAACTAAAGAGAGCATTGTTCAGAAGTCCCTATAGCTTTATGATACTTAAAGTATAAGGTATTAAAGTACACATGTGACAACAAAGTGGTCATAATGATCTATTAACTTTTGGATAGAGTTTTTGTTCCAAAGAAGTTTGGAAAAGGGTTTAGGAGGGGATTTAGAAAAGCAGTGCATAAAAACAAACAGAATCCCTCCCCCTAACAACTCCGCATACTTGTTTTCCCCTTTTGTCTTCTCTAAAGGCTAAAATAGTATATTGGAGCATGTCAGCTCCCGTCATAGATCAGTTTGTCTTTCTGCTGGCACTAAACTCTCATTCCATCCTTAGAGAGAACAAAGAGACATGCTGAAGAACAAAAATGAGAATAGCTGTATCCAAGGCTTATTTATAACTTTGTCTGGAAGTTTGTCTAAACATATCTATGGTATCTAGGTGACTTGCTCAGCTGCATACTGTTGCGGTGGGAACTTCTGTTATTTCAGTCCAAGAAATGAAAAGGAAGAGAAGGAAGAAAGCAGACAGATATCAAAGTAATAAATCATGTATATGCTTTAAAAAGCATTTCTTTATCTTGATTTCTGTCATATGGCTCATTATGGAGTCTGGCCATAAAAAAGATTTAGGAGAAAAATTAATAAATAGTACAGTTTGCCCTTGTACTCATAATAGTTGTGATTTTCTGTCTCACTGTGTCCTTTGCACTGGCTGGCTTTCTCTGTTGATACTGACTGCTGAAAGTTGCGTGATTAATTATTGACAGCTTGACAGGTGAGCATAGCCCGCAAAAACCTGTAATTACCCCTGATTTTCCAAGAAAGGCTGTAGTACAGCTCTATAGTTCTGGATAGGAACTGGATTCTCAACTTTGAGTTCCCTTCTTTGTGCTGTGAGGGTGACAGCAGCAGCTCGAGCCTCTGCTGTGTCCCTCTGTCCCTGTTATGCTCTGTTCCTGCACACGAGTTCTCAACTGAGGCTTTACCAGTGTTCTTCCTCATTCCCTTCAATCTTTGGACAGAGAGACAACCCTTCCCCTTGCCCCTCACTTGCCCAAGCCCAGTGGCCAGTCTAGGTGTCACGTCTGTCCCCCTGGGACAAGGCAGCAGCCTTGGGCTCTGAGCTGAGGAGAGGTGGCTGGCTGTTTGGCCTGCATTCCCTCAGGAAATGTAGTCCAGATGGGAGCTGGATCATGTTAACTGTACTGAATGTATGTGTGTATAATTTATATATATATACATATGTGTGTGTGTATATATATATACCCAATAAGCATTTGTCATTTGAATTATAACATTAAAACATGGTAAAAGACATATAGCATGATCCAAAAAAATATTTTGTTACATATCTTTGATGACAATATTTTCCTGGCCTCTCCTTTTTCATTATACTGCATAGGGTACAAATGTCTGGTGTGTCTTGCTGAGTAAATCATTGTTTCCTATCATTCTCGTACCACTCCTGAGCAATTCCTTCCCTTGCCTCCCTTCCCCCCAGTGCTTTTGGTCTCTTCTACTTTGTGCTATAGTCTCAGTTCTTTTTTCCCTCACCTTCACATTTTGCTTCTTTTCCCTGTTCTTTTGCTCCATCCTCACAAATCCTCTTTTCTTGAACACATTTGTCTTTCTAAGACATTGTAGATTTTGAGCCATTCACAGTATTCCATAACCTCAGTCTATAGTCTCACCATGTACTCCATGACCTCCAAAATCCATTGATTGAAAAGGATGGTACTGTTTCCTGACAGTGTGCTTTACAGACTGGGTGCAAGGAATGATTTGGAGCATTCAATGTTTTGCTTCAGCTCCGCATCTAAAATGCTAGTCAAGCCATTTAGCTTTGTCTCTGCTTCTTGATCTGTCATACAGTGGTGATACTGAGAATACGATAGTGGGTTGCTGAATGGGAACTAGGCAGAGTTGGAAATACCTTTCATGGAAAGGAGGTACATTTTTTACTAGAGACTCCAAATACAGTGTTTGAAGTGGTAGGATTTCCTCTTTAGACAATAACTTTATGATTTGTAACTATATTTTAACATCAGTGGAAGTAGACTTGGACCTGTAATTGCATTTGGATACTTCAACACTTTCATATCAAGTGCCTCTAGCAGATAAAATGTTCTTAAAACAGTTTTCCTGTCTGCTTTCAATGTTTTCATGGCATTTCTCTTGCCTTGTCTTTTTTTTTTTTTGTGTGTGTGTGTGTGTATTTCAGGGTTGGTAAGTCACTGTTCATGTTTTGATTATATGGTCCTTTTACCATGTTTGTTTACTTTCTTCTCTCACGGACATGGGTATTGTGACACTGATAGCCAAATATCTGCAAGAAAACAATAAATATGTAGCCTTGTCAGAGTCTCTTGTAATTACCAAAACCCATAGTTTGGCAGAGTGAGAAATTCTGCAGAATATTTTTATAAGTTATGTGTCTTGATATACTGTGGAATTTATTGAATAATTGTTTAATTTTTCATACATTTCAGTCAGCTTTTCATTACTAAATCTTAGTACAATTACAGATTTGCTCCTCAGAATCAGTACTTGGTAGGCATCATTCTTATTTTCTTCAGGTTGCTTTTGTGGTAGGAGCAGAATGAAGGTAAAGTAATAAGCATGATTTATTATAATAATAAAATTACAGGTGGAGGTAATTAGTTTTGGAGATGGTCGAAGGCAGCCTCAGTGAAGTTTTCTGTAAAATAGAAGACACAGTGGTTGTATACAAACCAACAGAGTCTTCATTTCTCCTCATGGAGTCAGACCTTCCCTCCATCAGCTTTCTTCAGGTATTTCCTTTCTGGTGTGTGTGTGTCATCTTTGTTCTACTTAAAACATTTCCTTTCTGGTGTGTGTGTCATCTTTGTTCTACTTAAAAGAGAAATTAATCCAAAGAGTGTTGTGCCTTTTGTTACACAAGAGGTCAGACAAAACATTTCTAAGTCTCTCTTCCATCCCTGTAGTCTGTCTGTGAGCCCGTGAGCAGTAAATAACATGCTAATGTTTCGGCCATGGGTTGACATTTTCCTTGGTTTTGGACCCTGAGACTCTATGGAAGTGACAGCATTATCTAAACCAGTTTGATCAAATGAATATTATTTCCAGTTCATAGATTTGGAAACATTGCACTGGGGTTTTTTTTTGTTTGTTTGTTTGTTTGTTTGTTTGGGGAGGGTTTTTTTTTGTTGTTTTTAACAACATGTAGTCTTACAGCCTTGCCTGAATCATGGAAATAGCTACTTGTGAATTTACTACATTTTATTTGGACGTCTGAAACGTGGAAAGCAGTGTTGTGTCATTAGTACCTACTAATTCACCTTTAAATATTTTAAGCATTTGTTTGCAACAATTGTTTGGTAAATATTTCAGTTGAATAAAATATATCTTATCTTTCTAGTAATCTCTAGACACTTTCTAGTGACCAGCGTTTTCAAGCTGTGACCATGGTGGTGTTAGCTGAACAAGCTTTGGGAAAAACCTTTTTTTTATTGATGGGACAGATCTGATGAACTCATGTCTTGCCAGAGCATAGTGTTATTAAACAAAAGAGAAGTGCTGGTGGAACTGCATAGCTAATTAAGTACTTAAGGGAATTATGAACACTCGCCGCTCAGTTATTTCTGAAGTAAAACTTGGCTGGAGTAAGATTGTTGGATACTGTTCTTAAAAATATCAGTTCTTTCTTTCTTCAGTTAAATAAAACTCTGGGGTGGGTGGATGTGTTGGACTGGGGTTAGTTTTTCATTACAAAAGACTTCCAGGGGCCAGAGTTAATGTGACAGAAACCTAGAATTGAGGGGTTTTGTCCACAGCTAGACCTGTAGAAACTAGAATTTGGTCTTTCCTGTTCATAGCAAAACCAAATTATATCTGTATAAAAAGAAGTAAGTATCCTTATGAATTCTGGGTAAGCACATACATTGGTAAGTTTACATGAGCATTTGTGAAAGCAAAATTAATCTCATGAGAAGGATTTAGTGACTATTTAGTGAATATTTAAATAACAAGAATATAAATCCTACTACAAAAAGGTGTGGAGTCATCCAACCTGGGGAAATGGAATCTAAGTATAAAAAACATGTATTGTCAGCTACACATATATCCTTTTGAAAGCAACTGAAAAAATTACAGTATATAAAGTAGAAACTTTTCCTTAAAGTAGACTTTTTCTTAAAGTAGATATATTCAGTAATATTACCTTAGTCACAATTAGAAAAAAATCTGACTGTACGGGATTGGTGAAAGAACATGACTGTAGATTTACTACTTTCTGGAAAAGAATGGAAAATGGAAAAGAAAACATTGTTCTAAAGACAAGATTGTCTAAAGTGTCTTGTAAAATGTCATTCAATAAGCTGCTTGTATCACTCTACATAGTAAATTTAACTGCTGTTTCAATGATCTCTAGAACCTTAAACCCAAAGGTTTTAAACCTTAAAAAAGATTCTCTGGGAATCATGAGAATAGTTACATGTTGTTCTCAAGATTTCCGGACTATGAGGACTGTGCCAGCCTTTTCTACATTCAGGAACAGTAAGTGCTTTAGTGGTGTATTCTGGACCATCAGTTTTAGCATAATGCTGG